CTTCGCTGATGCAACAATACTATTTTAAATGGGGAAAATGAAACAAAGAAATCTATTGATTTTTCGTGTGATAAATTAAATTGTTGTATTTGTGAGAAAGGTTATATTACATACAGTAAATATATTACAGGCTCTACTGGGGAGAAAATATTTTTCGTAAACTCATAGATTTGGTTGTAATTCAGATAATGTTAATTGTGTATTATATTATATTTGTTTGTTTTGAATTTCGCGCAAAGCTACACGAGGGCTATCTGCGCTAGCCGTCCCTAATATGTAACTACGTGATCTACGTCGAAACATGTACTTGTAGAGATATTAAAGTGGAAGCCGTACGGCTTCAATAAAAGTTTTTATTGTGTAAATATAAAACGTTGTTTTTAATTAATTATTTATTATAATTTTAGCAAACAATTTTAAACACAAGTGCCGGTAGTGGATATTTAGATATTAGACGTTGAAGATAACACGAATCTACACTTTTGTTACGAAATGCTATCGTTTCTGACACTCACTCCTGTTAGGCTATCACTTTTTTAACATTTAGTCACATTTTTACCTATTTGTTGATTACTTTCCTAACTTACAATCACGTGATATGTGTGGTTTAGATACTCCTGAGTAGCAAAGAAGAAGCGGAAGAATTTGAAGAGGTTGTTATTGATCCGGGACATCCCATCCTCTCGGATATCCATTTGGATCCAAGCAAAAGATTTCTGTACATTGCCTCTCCTTACACGGTAACTGATATAAGAAATCACTCTTGATGTGACTAATCCATTTAACGTAGAAATTTGTAATGGTAACACATTTTCTCGTGCTTTTATAGCGAGTTTGGTTGTTTATAATATTTTTAGTGCTGTATACCATATGCCGAGAGAGAGAGTTCAAACTGTATTATGAAAACATTAAAGAAGCAGTTGGTTTGACAAAAAACAACAACACACTATTGTAGTTATATTACAAACAAAGAGTCATTAATGTACTAGTCAACATTTCAGAAACAATAGCAGTTAGTTGTGTTAGCAATGTTGACTATTTAGTGTTGTGAGTTATTTATTTATTGTGTGTTAGGAATTGACAGTAGAATGTTCAATGTAATAACCACTTTTACTCTAATTGAAACGTAATGTTACTTCCATGGAATCTATTGTCGTAAAGTAACGCTACCTTCATGAAAGCTATTGTTGTAAAGTAATGCTACCTTCGTGAAAGCTATTGTTGTAAAGTAATGCTACCTTCGTGAAAGCTATTGTTGTAAAGTAATGCTACCTTCGTGAAAGCTATTGTTGTATAGTAATTCTAAAGTCGTAAAAGCTATTGTTGTAAAGTAATGCTACCTTCGTGAAAGCTATTGTTGTAAAGTAATGCGATCGTCATGAAAACTATTGCTGTAAAGTAATGCTACCTTCGTGAAAGCTATTGTTGTAAAGTAATGCTACCTTCGTGAAAGCTATTGTCGTAAAGTAACGCTACCTTCGTGAAAGCTATTGTTGTAAAGTAATGCGATCGTCATGAAAACTATTGCTTTACTTTACAACAATAGCTTTCACGAAGGTAATACTACTTTACAACAATAGCTTTCACGACGGTAGCATTACTTTACTTTACAACAATAGCTTTCATGACGATAGCAGTGATGCTATAGTTATGAAAGCTATTGTTGTAAAGTAGTATTACCTTCGTGAAAGCTATTGTTGTAAAATAGTATTACCTTCGTGAAAGCTATTGTTGTAAAGTAGTATTACCGTCGTGAAAGCTATTGTTGTATGGGAAAACTACTAAAATGAAAATGATTGTTGTAAAGTGATGCTACCTGCGTGAAAGCTATTGTTGTAAAGTAATGCGATCGTCGTGAAAGCTATTGTTGTAAAGTAATGCTACCATCGTGAAAGCTATTGTTGTAAGGGAAAGCTACCGTCGTGAAAGCTATTGTTGTAAAGTAATGCTATCGTCATGAAAGCTATTGTTGTAAAGTAATGCTACCCGTCGTGAAAGCCATTGTTGTAAAGTAATGCTATCGTCATGAAAGCTATTGTTGTAAAGTAATGCTACCCGTCGTGAAATCTATTATTGTAGTCCAGCACTTATTCTGAAATTTCACTTTGAAGCAAATCTTAATGTACAGGATGTCCGAAAAGTCTGGAATCATAGGCACTTCAACGAATTTTACAGAATGTGTTCTACATATTGCCATGCTACAAAGTATATTCGTATTATTGTCAATGGTCCGACACTTGTCGTGAATTCGATGTTTCAGATGTTCCGGCATCCCTGATTTTCTCTTTGTACACACGAGCCTTGAGCAGTCTCCAGAAAAAAAGAAATCCATGGGTGCCACGTCCGGAGATCTTGGGGGCCCATTCCTGAGGATCACGTCTGCCAATCAAATATCATGGGAAGGTGTCATTCAACCAAGCTTGAACTTCCCAGCTGCAAATCACCTATGGTTACAGACTTCTCGGACATCCTGTGTTAAATTACAATGTTAAATTTGTTGTATTTTATTTTGTTTTTTATATGAGACGTGTAGTTTACTTTCTGAATTATTACGATATCAAATCAACAGAACGTTTTATTAACGTAAGAAATAATTGTTATTGCTGTATTATGATTTATGAACCTTGTGTTGTTCTAACAACATAAACCATGCGAAACATCACAAAACACTCTATATTATTATAATATTAAAAATTCCTTATTTGACTACATAAAGTCTGATTATCTGAACGAAAAAAAAATGTGTTTTGATCAAAATATTATTTTTACCAACAGTTGAGTAAAGTAGTGGTCGAAAGATGTCAGCAGCATAGCACGTGCGAGGGGTGTTTACAGGCCAGAAATCCATACTGTGGCTGGTGTTCCTTGGAAAGAAGGTTTGTGATTTAAATAAAAACTAAAATATTTATGGTTGCCTATTACTGATTACAATCTTAGTTTTACGAACGATTAAACTAAAACTTATTTCCTCGTGAAACGTCTGGCGAACTAATCATTTGTTCAATTCAACCAAGACAGTAGTTCACACAGTTTTTCTTTTTACGAAACTCAAATGTGAAAATTTTGTTATTTTCTGTTTTTGTTGTATTCTTTTACGAAACTAAAATATGAAAAATAAGTTATTTTCTCTTTTTGTTGTATTCTTTTATGAAATTATTTTTGAAATTGTTTGTTTGTTGTTAAACATAAAAAACACAATGGTCTATTTGTGCTGTGCCTGCCATGGGTATCGAAACTCGAAATTTTGGAAATCAGGTACCTCTCAAAATGAAAATTGTAAACACACGAACTGTAATTACAAAATGTTCATTAAACCACTTTCTTTCATTTGCTGTTAAAAGGTTTATCTACACTTTTTTTTTGCTACATTGTATTAAATTAGGCTAAAAGGCTGATCTATATTTTGTTTGGCCTGCTCTTTTGGGTTAAATTACATCATTTTTTTGGGGGGGGAGGTACTTCCATGGTCTACCCAAGAGAGAGAGAGAGAGAAAAAAGATAGATTCGAACTTAGAGGAGAAAGCGAAACAAGATATGTGTATTAAGTTTTTATTATATTTTCTCTCACGAAAAGCTTGACTTTTTTCGTACTAGTTTTACGATTAGTTGGTCGTTATTCTTTCTGGACCAGGATTTTATAGTCCAATATTTTATATTAATGTACATCTATATAGAGGCTTCATGTTTTGGCACGGATGATGCAGGAACAAAAACACAATATAACGCAGCTGCGATCTCGTGATAGGATAATCTAAATAATATCAAGTAAATAAAAATGATAAGTTGTTTGAGAAAGAGATGTGACTGTGTCAGCAATTCTAGAACAATGAGCAATAAATTTTAATAATAGTTTTATTGTCCGCATAAAAAAAAAAAGAGTTAAGTTTCTGACAAACCACTCAGTGAAAGAGGGCAATAATAGGCTCAAGTTTTATCTGCAGCATTTATTGTTTGCTCAAACCTATACTTTTCTAGCATCTATAAACATACATGCACATTATAGTTGTGGTGTAATTGAGCCCCCTATCTTTCTGTGATTGTAAGTTCGTCAGCACGTTTAATGTCTGACACTTGGAGTCTTACAAACAAAACTTTCTAGAATGGAATGTGGTCATTATCTGTTGTTTTCACGTATTCCATTTTTAGACTGTCTTAGCTATTCCCTAATTAGTTGTATTTGTTCTTACGGGTTATTAATATTTAAAATGATTTTTTAATAACTAAAAATTAGTGTTACGTTTTTTTAAGATTATTTCATACTATTGGTTTAATGTGTGGGTTTGAGACTAACCGAAATATTCAAATTCTGATATATGAATTAACATACAGGATCACGCGCAAAATGTGTAATGAATTAAAAAAAGAACAAGAAACTCGAGCACTTTCGAGTAGTTGATTATATATATGAGTTAACACACAGGATCACGCACAAAATGTGCAATGAATTTAAAAAAACTCGAGCAATTTGGAGTAGTTGACTGTTTTTCTTCAGGAGAAATATTCTAAGTTATCCAAAAACCTAGTGGGATATTATTGGGATTATGATCGAAAATAGATAGCCCATTGTGTAGCTTTGTGCTTAATTACAAACAAACCAAAAATATATAGAACAGTGAGGGTACCAAACTGGTGATTAAATACCGTCTACTCATTTTATATTTTAGTTTTCTGGTTTGTTGATTTGTAACACGTTAATTATTTATTAAACAAGATTATCTGTATATTTTACTTTTTAAAGTTATTTTAGTTTTGCTATTTATAGCTAGCCTTCTTTTGATCAAAACTGTTTTCTGGTAGTCATCTTCCAATTTTATCTTTTATATGTTCACCGGTGGAACAGCGGTAAGTTTACGGACTTACAACGCAAAAATACAGGGTCCGTGATATAGCTCTGAATTTCGGAGCTTGTGAGCCGGATTCTTATCCGTGAGATACCGTACAATATTCTCCGCACTTTAAGCTTTGGATGCGTTATAAAAGTGAAAGTCAGCCTGAATGGTGGGTGTTAGGTCGCTGCAGATTGGTTGCCTTCTCTCCCGGTCAGTGGTTCAAAGTTAGGGACGGTGACAAATCTTCCCTCCCGGTCAGTCGTTCAAAGTTAGGGACGGTGACAAATCTTCCCTCCCGGTCAATGGTTCAAAGTTAGGGACGGTGACAAATCTTCCCTCCCGGTCAGTGGTTCAAAGTTAGGGACGGTGACAAATCTTCCCTCCCGGTCAGTCGTTCAAAGTTAGGGACGGTGACAAATCTTCCCTCCCGGTCAGTCGTTCAAAGTTAGGGACGGTAGACAAATCTTACCCTCCCGGTCAGTCGTTCAAAGTTAGGGACGGTAGACAAATCTT